TGTCGAGTCTGGTCTTTGACAGATAACAAACGAATCATTTAAAAAATTAAAAGTATTAGAACCTCTTTATTTATTTATTTAGAGATTACATCATCCCGCAATGAATGGCTTTGTCTTTGGTTTCACTTTCCTTTTTGGGTGAAATGAATCAATTCTATTGAATGAATTTTAACTAAATCACTGAAACATTTACCTCACTAAACCGAGCTGATACAATGATATTGTGATGAGCCATGATACTTAGAGTGAGGAAAGGGTTGAAGAATATTTATGTATTATTTATGTATTCATGTATTATTATTTATAAGTCAACTCAGACCATAATTAATAACAAATACCTTTAATATCATATAAACTATATTACATTATGTTGTTTAAAATATCATTATCATTAGTTCAATTAATTAATTATTATAAGTAGCGGTAGTATCAAGTAAACTTGTAACCACGATCCACGACCCACGACCCACGACCCACACCCCACGACGCACGACCAGCAGTCAAACTCCGAAAAAGTAATACGCGAACTCAATTCTTCTCTTACAGTTATTAATGGCCAGACGGCTCTCAGATCCGCCGTAACCTAATTTGCATACATTTTTGTTGGTGGGCTAAGCTCGTCGTGCTAAATGCGCATGCGCTAGTTGTTATCAAGCCCCTAGAATTTCATGCTCTTCGCATGTTTGAAATCTTTAAAATAGTAGCAGTGAGGTCAATTCAAATTTAAAGAAGGGTTGATTACTCTATTCAGTTAAACATTCGTGATTCTAATGGCAGAATGAGCAGATGGTGAAAATAGGTGAAGAAAAGGTTTAAATTTACGTTTTCAACAAGGGTTATGCATTGTCATCTAAATCCCGTTTTTAATTGAGAATTAATGTGATAAATGAATGACTGTGGATCATTTAGAGGGTTTATTACATGTACAAACCAACAAAGTGACCACTTCCCTGGTTTGCTTCGTAGCTCAGTTGGTAGAGGAATGTACCAGTATCGCAGAGGTCATGAGTTTAACTCCCGTATAGGCCTGCATGTTTTTCAGGCTTTATTTTCCCTACTGGTTAAGTGGTGTTCATTACAGCGAAGATCACTCTCATATTCAAAAAACTGTATCTCAGACACATATATGTTATAGATATAACCTAAAATTGCTCGCAATGATTTCAATCAGTTTGGTTTGTTGTGTTTTGCACCAAAGATATTAGAAGATTTTTTATTGGATTTATATCAGAAAAAAAAGACTTTTGAATTATTAAAACTGTAGATTTCTTCTTCACATTCTTAGTAGTAGTTTTCTGTGAATGTTTCTCTGAAATGATGATAAAGACCAAACATCATGAGCATTTGCATATATGGCAATGACAATGACAATGACAATGACATTGCTAACACCTGTATCATTTGCTCTGTAATTTTTGAGCTTCAAAACGTTAAAATGGTCCTAAAGATGGCTTTAAATTTTAATTATTGTAGCTGACACTTACACTCTTCTGTTTGTTACAGTATTTATCACATTTGTAAGGTATGACAAGTTCCTTTGGTGTGTACAGTTTATTTTGTTTCTTTATAAGAGCTTTTTGATTAAAAAAATTTAGTTTGGGAAGTTAAGCCAATTCTAAACTCAAAGCTTTATTTCAAAATTGAGATCATTGTCATCTCAACCTAGGATAAGATAAAGGCGCACGTACAATCTAAATAAAATTAAACGAGGCATGATCGTTAGAAACTTCCACCACAGCAAGTGACAGGTAATGCTGTTTCAGTTTTTTAAGTTAAACTTGTCAACTTTCTTATTTGAAATCCCACGGCAGGTTCTCACGCTAAAAGTGTTCTTGCTTTCACACGGTGTTTTAACCTAATCTTCAAATATTTCTTGAAGTTTAGTTGTGTTTGTTTGATTGCTCTTAGTTCCAACAATAATCACTGGAATTAGACGTGCACGAACTGTTCATGGAGGCAGCAACTTGCACTTAATTAACCTGTGAAGCTTCGGGTCGATCAGAACCAAACATCAACTGGGCCGAAGAGAATTAAGACAGTCAACGAAGGAAATACTGGTGTGCGGCAAGAAGGAAAGTGGGGAACTTTAACAAAAGTCAACAGGAATGTTTCAGGAATAATTAACTGTGCTGCATATAGTGGTTTCGGTAAACCAGATAGCCAAGCAGTTCATGTGAATTTTGCTTGTGAGTATATGATATATGCTCTGAAAAAACTTTTACTATAGTGCTAAACAGAGATGCGCTTTCTATTTATCTTTTCTTTTTAATATGTGCTATCATTTACTGGTATTGATGGTAATGGCTTACATCCAGTTGCCGAGAGGTTTTAATGGCTTACCTCCCTTGACATAAGCATTGAATGTTGTGTTAAGGAAACTGCCACTGTTTTTAAAGTACTCTGTAGTCATGCATTATACAGCTGTCGCTCTATACATGTACCCACATGATATTTTGATTACAAGGCTCTCAGAGTTGAACCAGGGGTTCGCCCGTCAGGCTGTAAAAGCTGAAATAGTTCTTCCACTTTTTCCTGATGATAAGTATCTGTGTGAGATCTTTTGGATAATTTCATGTATGATATTGATTATTATTCTGATGCATGTGAAATAGTATGAAAGCAGAGCAGGAATTTAAACTTCGGGGCTGTGTTGTTCAAAGCTGGGTTAAGATAAACCAGAGTTAGTATGAAATCTGATTTCAAATATAAAATTTTTAAACTAAAGCTATTACACCAGTAGTAACATCAGAATGCACATCCTTCATACCGTTCCCTATACACTTCCTAAGATGCTGACATGAAGTATTACGTCTCTGTTTTTAACAGAAAAGCTCATTTAGTAGTCGAGCTAACGCTACGCCGGTTCTGAAAAATAAAGCATTTACAGGACAAGCTGAACCATCTACTCTAATGCTGACTTTACCAGCACTGATGAATTTTACGACACCAAGACTTAGACCCGACGCCAGACTGTAGTTCCAATTAAGCGTGATTGGAAATCCTTCATAAACCTGTTCAATGCCAGAAGGAAGCACTTCAGCTGGATTTGATGTTGTCTTAACCGGAAAAGGTTCATTCCATGTGACACCTCCGTCACCTGAAGGAGAATATTTTAGATCGCAGTTATATTGAAACAACTCATGTTTTCGATATCGTCTAAACAATAACGGTTTTCCTCTAATTTTGTGTAATCTAAAAGGCACAGAAATCTGTTGCTGTCAATATAAGAGTCATCTAACTCAGTACAAACCGAGAACTGAACCGGAGGCCTTGAACAAGGAAGGGTTACCAGGTCACCCTTTCTTCTCTTAACGGCCACCAACCAAAAGTAATTTCGCAAAAAGACACTTTAAACGGCCCATGAGAGCGAAAAATACCACAATTGCGTCGATTTACATTTCATTTAATGTTATTGAGGTATTCAGACCGAAATGTAATGTGGATATGCAATTTTCAGAGCGTTATTCACAACCCCTGCAGATTACGTTCGTCTCATGTCAACAACAATTATTAGGCACGAACGCATACTGTGGGTCTGCCTGTGGTGCAGTTTTTGCAAGGAAATCTGGAATGGCAGGAATTAACAAAACCCAACTTGGATCAGAATTGGAAAACCTCGAAACTCAATACATTGACCAGTGGTTTTACAAACAGCCCGGAACTTAATGAAGCCTATCGATTTAAATTACTTAAAAGCCTGACGAATTTAGGAAAATCTGTCTTAATTGTATAATTCTGTGATTAACGAGTGTGGTATGAAGAACCCTAACCCTCCTGGTTCCGCTTTGTTTCCATCTCGTCGGCTGCCGCTGAAAAAAATATCAAATTATTTATATTTATTCATATAAGGGCCTGTCTTCATATAGGTGGGGGACCCCAGGTAGGTGAGGTACCCCGCCTGGCCGTGATCGTTTGCATTTATACTTAAGGCGGAGCCTGAGAGATCAAAAGCACCATGAAGCGGAAATACGTCAGTGTTTTAAGACTTCCTGGGCTGATGTCATAAATTACTTTCTGTTCAGCTTGTGGATCGAGCCGTTCTAAAGCCGTGTTTAACAAAGTGTAGTGAGGCTTTCTGTACATTTTCTCGTTTCTCTTGTCAAGCGCGAATGACCGAAATTTTGTGAGATTGCTGGTCTGCTTGTAATTGTTGTTAAATTCTTTAATAAGTTGTCAACTTCCCGATCGAATGCCATGATTACTTGAAGTTTGTACCGATAATTTTAACTCTGTTTCACTGAAATGCAAGACTTCAATAATGCACTGTTTAAAAGAGACAACATCTTATTATGACTTTCATTGTTAAAAATTCTAAGTGAAACAAAGGAATCAGAATCTCAGTACTCTGTAAATATGTCAAGGGATGATTAAAATCGATAGAAACTGAGTGAGCCCTTTGATTTTTAAACTGTTTTCTTTATTTTTACAGAATAACTTAGCCATTATAAACCCATTGCAACCAATTAGAAAGTTTCATAAAAGTTAAGATTTTGTGATAAAACTGATCAGTACATGGCGAAAAACCTACTTTTCTTGATGAACACCATCTAAACATGGTTAAACCGCTGGTTCAAAAACTATTACCGTAATAGGGCCACCTTAATCAATAAAGGAATTTTTGCATCTAGATTTCAAAATACAACAAAAGGGACCACAGATGCAACATTGGAATATTTTTTGTGTGGATTCGTTGGACATTTTAAAGTAAGATACATGTTTTGTGTAAAAGACAAAATGTAAAAATTTATAACGTTGGGGGGGGGGGGGGGAATTAGGGTTGCAGCCTTTAAACTTGTTACTACAAAATCATTTGTCTTTCCAAGACTAAAAGTATAAAAATATGTAAGAATATATGAAAGCTGCACTTCGCCTTGCTTCGTTGTCAAACAGCTTGTTTTAAAGAGTTGCTTAATCAGCAAAAAATATGGGTAAATAGAAGATGATGTCATAGCGCTGCAATGTTCATTACTCCAACCTTTCCTGTTGGAGAAATCACTCGCTCACACCGCAAGATCGTCAATATTAACGTAAAGTCGATCATCGTAATTTTTTAAGTTTATCAGCCCCTGTAAGAAAAAATACATACGAAAAAATTTGAAAAATGAATATGAATTATACTATACTCCGTTAAGCTTTCGAGGGTTTCTTCAATTTTTTACCAAGAAAGAGAGTATAATTTTATATAGAGAAGTCTTACATTGATTGTCGAAAAATCAACTAACCCTAAACCTAACCCTTGAAAAACAAAGCCCTAAGTATTCACAACTATCAATCAGAACAAAGGTTAACATCAACGTTAACCAACAGAACTCAAAGTAGAATCAGGCAACCTCCTTTAAGCTCGGAGAAACGTTTGTGATCAGGCTGGGATTAGTTTTAGTTTTCACGTTCGATTTCCACTTTCGAAACTCAGTTAAAAACTGCTGTAAAAGCGAAATAAATTAAAACCATAAACTACGTTTCGAAGCCTTCATGGTGACGCCGTTATCAAGTTTAGTTGATGGTGGTAGATTCTAACAATCAAACTTTGAAAAGGAAAAAAAGAACACAAAGAGTCTCTTTTTAAACTCTACAATTCTACCTTGTGCCGGTTTTCCATTTCCTTGAGTTTGTTTCTCAACTTCTCAAAAGATGGTCTCAAGTTAGGCTCGTCTTTCCAACATTTTGTCATTATGTCATACCTAAAAGGACGTCAAAAAAAATTTAATTAGAAACGGTTCGACCTATCCCTAATGAACAACCTTATTGGTCTAAAAATTCCATCTCGTTATAATAAAGGACAAATGATTTATACAACAGATTTCTACTAGAGATGGTGTACTTCTTCTTTCATTTCCCTTCGTTAGGTTGGTTCAGCAAGTAAAGATGGTTGAATCTTAGGGCGTACATGTAACTCGAACAAAAAGCGGCACAAATACTATTGTCAATAAAAGCCATCAGGAAACAATAACACGATATTATCATACAACTTATCATCCACATGTTGTGGTTTAGGCATTCTGTATCCCTCTTGAAGTAAGTTTGCAATTTTCCTTCCATCCATCCTTGGATACGGTGAACCACCTGAATAGAGCAGGTAATGTTAATATACTCTAAAATGAAAAGCTCTACAGATGTATTTCCATTAACAATTTTTTTCCGGCTAAGATCGGCGACTTTGGCAATCTAAACTGACTTGGTGTGACTGAAAACCAATTCTACAGAGACTGGTACACCCTGTTTACTTAATGACTTCATGTCCCCTCAATTGCTGAAGCTAAAATTACTGGAATGGTAATCTGCCAAGTAACTTACCAATCGTGAAAATCTCATAGAGGAGAACTCCGTAGCTCCACCTGTAAAACAAACGGGATTCATTTAAGGAAGTAAAATTTGTTCTCTACAAAAAATGTAATTAAAACATCTTTGGTGGTAAAGGGGAGGGGGAATGGGGTGGGGAGGGACACATGCACAGTTATCAGATCATAGGAGTTAATCCCTGGTCACTACCCATAAAAAATGAGGATAACCAATCTTCACTGAGATGACCTCACACCAGCAAAATAAAAAGACCAAAATACCAAGGTAACCAAATAACTTTCTGCAGACTTGAAAACAGTTCATACAAACCCATTCTCATTAAGCTTAGTGCAATGTTCATATCTTCCTTACACTCACACATCACTCTTGGTAGAATATTTTCCGTAAAGCAACGCCTCAATGGCAGTCCATTTTACGGGGAGACGCCCCTGAATGAAAAGCAAAAATGCAAGGAGTTGGCGTAGTCTTTAAAAAAGTACTAATGCTTCCGATAGCAACAACACTACAACGAAAGTTCCGGAAAACGGAACAAGATTTACTGAGCTTCTTCTCTTTAAGCAGTCACTCCAGTGAGGCATTTTCAGCCATATAATAAAAGGCTTACAAGAACATTATGTCTTCATACCCTGGTTTTTCTTTCGTAAATATTGTCCTCCTGCACATCTCTGGCCATTCCAAAGTCCGTCACTTTGCATGTTTCCCCCTCTCCAACAAACACGTTACGAGCTACAAGATCTCTATGAATAACCTTACACAAAGAGAAAACGTTTCCTTTGGAAAACACCCTTTAGATAAACGAGAGACTTAAGGGTGACTCAGTTGGCATGGGATGACATCCTAGGCAGTGAGTCCACGGTTCAATGGAAAGCGAAGTATAATGAATGACAAATGAGGCCTTCTTCTATAGGGACGTCATTCAAAGAATAATTTCATCACTCACTGGTATCGATGACAAATACGACATTCCATCAGCGATTTGCCAAGCAAACTTAATTAGCTGTTGTGAGGTCAGATTTGTTTGTGGTTTGATATCCGGGTCTCTGTAGTAAGTATCATTTAATCCACGGCTCTTTCTTAGGTAACCCAGCAGATCCCCAAAAGGAACATATTCGATCAGCACAAACAGTGGCTCTAGGGAGACAAATAAAGTTTCGCAAATATCGATTATATGCCGCAGATGGAAGCAAAAATATCAATAAACGTCACTCTCCTATAAACGCCACAGCCACTTGGAAGAGTACGACGTTTATTCAAGGCTAATAGGGAAATACAATATCCACCACTGTACAATTCGGTAATATTCACAATTCTTGTAAATCTATTTTAGAAGCAAAGTAACCATTAGTTTATAAAAGCGGAAAATCCATCGTAAATTTGTAAAATGTCGATGCCACTGAACTGACATCGTATAAAACTTTTGTTTAAAGGAGGTCATGACTTATTTTCATGGTCTACTACCAGAAAGATTCCCGCCCTCGTAAAGTATTCACATCTGACCAGCTCATACCTGCAACATGTGCGCAAACCTTAAGCACGCAGTTTTTGTCTTGGCCCACTTTCAGTCCACCAGTAAATTTTGCTGATCTTAGATCTCAGTTATTGATAGTACATACACTGCTATTTAGCAAACAGTATAAAACTCTGTCTACTTCTTTGCTGTCAAATAAACTCTATCCAGACCACACTCGTGCGTGCACGTGCGCACAAGAATAGAATATGCCAAGCTTTAAGCGTCGGTTAGCCGCTTTTCCCAAAAGTTAACAGAAATCAAAATAATGGCTAATGGAATGATCGAGCAAATTAAATGGACTATACCCTTCAACAAAGGCCTCCCCAAAAACAATAAAAACGAACTAAACGCCACGGGGATCAATCGAATAAATAAAGTATCCAACGAATGACATTCTACGTATTGATTTCGAGACAATTACTTTAGCTTAGACTAAGAGGGCCACGCGGACCTTCGGGTGTGAGGCACGCGAAAAGTAGGGTCTCTACTTTTCGTACCCATCACTTCCCGTGTCAAATTTGTTTCCGTTGATTTTTTGTACTTCGCGGAAAAAGGATGTAGTACTCGTAGTCTACTTTAAACCGAAGATCGCTTTTAAAAGTTATGAGTCGTTTCTTACCCAGCCTGGTCTATTTGTATCCAGTCAGTTGGGTTTTTTCGTACCCAAACTACTAAAGTATGTTTTACATGTTAAGTATCCTTAAAAGTAAGGTCGATCTCATATTTGAAATAGCAATATTCCCTGCCTTAAATACATTTTGTTTCCGTGGCCTCCACTTTTATATACGCGACCAGTGAATGTTGTTTGTATTCCTTTGTTAGAATAAGGGAATTTATGACATTTAATAACGAAAATGGAAAAAAAAATCACACTTACACCGGCTGTTATTGCTAACAAAGTCACATGAAAACAATAAACAATAGTAGTAATAGTAAACAATAGATCGGCAACAATCTAGTTGTTTATCCTAAGGAGGTCACAAGTAATGACACAACGGAATTTTGCTTGAATCTTACTCGCTTGTCTCTACTTACTTGTCGTTCGCAAAAACGGAGATCTGTTCACGCACTCGGGCGTGAATTATTTCTGGTACAAACCGACTCAAACTGAGTACGAATGGACTAAATTTAAGTAGAAAACGACCGTGCGTACGAAACGAGTGGATACCCTTTCAAGGAGTAAAATGTTGAGTACTTTACTCACTCAGCGCCCCCCCCTCGAATGTGTTTATTTCTTGAAAAGCTCCCTTATTCTACTAAGGGAAAAAACAGTGGCCATCGTCTCAGTCTCTCAACTATTACGTCCATGTGGGTGCACAGTTCCTTCAGACGAACGAAATGTTTGCCGCGTTTGCTTGGCTCTTCGTTCGAATCAAGAAGGATGTAAGGAGAGCAAGCCCGTTTTCCTTTTTTTTTCTTTTCAAATGAACATCAAAGCTTTGTTTCGCACGTTCTACTGGTTCTTAAAAAAACCGTAAGCGCCCTGCCCTGATTACTGCCCTGTTTCAAGTAAGCACCCTCCTGTTGCCAACCAAAAAGTAAATAAGCGCCCGGGCGTCAAATCGAATAATTACGGTATACTATATAACTTAAGAGGAAAGTTATCTTAAGCTAAAACACAAAAAATACCGAGGAAAACGAAGCTTTCTATACTTTAAAACTTAATTCTGTCTGACGGTAGCCATAGTTGATAATAAACATTTCAGTATTTACCAGACTTGGTAACGCATCCCAGGAGTTTGATAACGTAAGGATGAGGTTTAAGTTTTTTCATCAATTCAAGTTCAGACAGCAAATCCTTTCTCTCTGATTCAGAAGCGTTTTCTGCAAAAGGATTTCCGATCAATAATTGTTGAATAACATTTCAAATGAATCACAATAATATCGTTCAACCGTAACATAATATAAGTAAACGTAGACAGATGGATAAACCAGTAGATAGGTAGATAGATAGACAGATAGATAGATAGAATAGATAGATAGAATAGATAGACTGACATATAGACAGATTGATAGATGGCTAGAGACGATATATAGATAGCTAGACGGATAAACAGATAGAGATGGATAGTAGATAGATAGATAGATAGATAGATAGATAGACAGACAGATAGATAGAAAGACAGACAGACAGACAGACAGACAGACAGACAGACAGACAGATAGATAGATAGATAAATAGATATCATTCGACTCTACCGTACATCACATTTAAGGTGCTTTTCTTCGTCAACGTAAAGCGCCGAGGCTCTAAAATGTAACTATTATTTAAGGAAGTATATTTACATTACATCTTAAAATTCCTATGCTATGGACATAACTGTGGACTGGTCATATAGAGTGCGATTACTCTAAAGAGGAACTTGGAAATTATGCAGAAGCATATGGAAAGAAAGGGAACAATTTGGACAGACTTCTAAGTCAGTTCAAACACCAAGTAAAACATGACTCGGTACCTTTCAACATTTTCACTGCTACGAGCGTCTTCTTCGCTCTTCCTTGTAGATTAACGGCTGTCGCCTTGGCAACCTGACCAAAAGCACCTTTTCCAACAATCTGCTTTATCGTCACATGTTCTCTAGGAGTCTCCCAGGAGCGTGTGTGTGGATTAAGCGAAGCGTACTCGCTGATTTGTTCAGCGCTGAGCGGACTGGCATCTGCCATCAATTGTGAACGAGTTCTGTCATCCAGTGCCATGTAATGGCTTTGAGAAGGTTTACAAGTAGGCAATTCGACTGCAATCTTAAAGACGAAATTGTTTTCAATTCAATAAAAGATGATAAACTACCCAACTTGCTTAGAAAGTATTTACAATCTTCAAACCAGCTGTTTTATGAAAAACAAACCACTATTTACTTAGACTTATTTGAAAATACCAATGAGTAATCGACTTAAAATCTGTATCAATCATAGCTTTCTGGGTTCGGGTAAACTGTAAACTGCAGTGGGAAGACTCTCAGTAAAGACAGCAACATAAAAACAAAACACACCTAGGACTACAGGAAAATGTCTCTATATATGAAGGTATAAGATTTCATCGCATAACCTACATTAGTACTTCCTCTTGTTTCATTACTTGAATTTCCAAATGTTCTGAAACAGCAAATCAAATATATTACAAAACAAACCCAATTCTCTCTAACTGCAAGATCCTAAATAACAGAAAACTTACCAGACAGCTTAGTCCAGTCACAAAAACCTGCTGGAAACCAGATAAAGGCTCAGCTACAGTCATAGCCTACCTGTAGCTATACCCTCCCCCTACAGTCAGACCATATGAGCAGGGTAGACTTGCCCTGAGCTTCATATATGTGATTATCTTAAGGGAACGTTTATTTTAATAGCCAGAGAGGGTTTCGCATCCTCTGCATTTAAGTATTGAAAGTTTCATTTTCCCTAGTTACGAGCAGTGGAGACAAATATCATGTGGTCAGAGAGGTTTCCTGAGACCGAAGAAAAACAGACTTTATCCTTATCAACCTTCTAAATATATGGTAAACAATAACAGTATTAAGGTCAGATTAACTAAAATTTCTTTCTCAAGGCTTTACAAATTTGTCAACCATAGACACTACCTCAACAGTAACCTACAACTGTAAAAGAATACTTTTGGAGCAATGATGATAATGATAATATTGATAATGGCAAAGATAACAAGAATGATAATAATAGTAATAATAATCAAAACTATAAAAATTCGTGAACGTGATTGGTTATCACAAGCTCAATTTGGGCACTAATAGCACAGTGTACTCGTCATGCTTGTTCATGGGCTGAGTTATTGAATAGTTCGTGTCATGTGCGTGCGCTGATGTCGTGTACTTCATTGAGTTACCCGTTGTTTTTTAATAGTTTCTTAAATTATGTCCAACTTTTGATTAACTTGTAATTATCAAATCGGACTCCTGCCCTGCGGTCGTCCGATTTTTAAAATCACTCGAATGATTACAGACCGTATTGGACCCAACTCAGTTAGAACTCTCAGGCCAACAAAGGTGCACCACACCAGGAGGATCAATAAAGATTCGCAGTCCAAACCTCACAGCAAACACGAACGTAGAGAGTTAAAAAAATGCGAGGATGGACAACTTCTGACGTAAAAGAGATAAAAAATTAAATAAAAGCGTTTCGGTCAGAGACCTTCTTCAGTTATTTACATTTTTTGAATAAAAAAGAGCTTTAAATAAGATCAAGGTGCTAGAAACAAAATCAACAAGTATTTTTCGCTTTGTTGATTTTGTTTTTTGTCATCTCTTTATTAACACCACTTTCCGCTCTTTCACGCGATTTTTTATCTTATTCATCAGTTGTCACCTGTAATCACTAGCACCTCGATCTTATTTAAAGCGGTTTTTTATATATATTTATATCTATACACACACACACACACACACACAGATAATACACTTAACCTAAATACACTTAAAAGTTGCTGCTGTTCTTGTTTTTGTTTTTTTTTTATTTCCAGTTTTTTTACAGATCATTAAAATGTCGGTTATTGTATAAGTGGCAACTATTAAATTCAGCGTCCAAAAGTGTATAGCGGTATCACTACTGCGCAAGAGTGCCTTAAAGTTAGTGGTAATTTGATCAATCACAAACATTCGCATGAAAAACAGGGCTGTTAAAATTGTTAAAACGATCGAGCCATAAAGGAAGAACGCAAGTAGAGAGCAACACTTCGTTAAAAATCTCACCTTTTGCTCATCTCCACCTCTATGATAAAAAAGGGAAAACAAAACAGAAAAATAAAAAGCAAACCGAAACAAAACAAAACAATAAATAATCAACCTGAAGCAAAATTTCTCTCACAAGCAAAGTCAAGTCTGTTTTATGTACATTAAGTTGAGTCTTAAAGTGTTCAAACGTCATGCGAGGTCTGTTAACTGTAACTGGCTAACCACAAAGTAGAAAACAGCAAAAAAAATTATTAGTTTACAATACAGTGTTATAAAAGTTATCTGTTAAAAATATAGAAATAGCTTCAGCAAAGATCATAATGCAGCGGATAGTGAACTAAACATTATACTTAGTCCTAGAAGAAAGGAATTGTATTAAAGATATATATCTAGGATGCCAAAACTAGTGTTCATTTGAGAGCAAAACATATGTGCAAAACTTAGCTTCAATGCCTTTTGTGTTGTGCCTCTTTTTCCTGCAATTCCACCAAACTAATATTCCAGCAACAACCAGTGCAACAACTGATCCAAACACTGCACCAACAACAATACCTATGGTACCTACAATGCGTGATAAACGTCAGAAAATATTTTATCCATGATCTTATCATAAAGAATCTGCCTCTGTACTCCTGTTATGGTGAGGAAACATTTGGAATTCAGTCAGAACTCAGTTTATCTTCTTGCCACAATTTTGTGTTTAACAATTCATTACATGTATGGAACTTAACAAGCTGCAATGCGTAATAAAGTACTCGTTCGGAAAAAGATGGGGATACAAACTCTACTCTTGCAAGGTTAAAAAAAGTACCGAATAATTAATATTGAATATTTCTTCCCTCTTCACAAGCTCTTAAGCTACAACTTCCGATTAGTTATCCACAGCAAAAATAAGATAGAGCCGCCCACTCCTTAATCCACAACCTTGTACATAAAATGGGGCATAGTCAGATCTCACCTTTTTCCGCGCCCAGGGTTGGTTGCACAGACAAAATGAAACAGAAAAAAAGAGAAAACCAAGATTATAATCTGTCACCATTACAAATATTTAAAGGTCATTAAAAGTTGAGCTACAAAATTGTTCCCTGCAACAGAAAGATGTAAGAGTGTTTGGTATGTAACACAAGCAAAATTTTGTCCTCAGACTCAAAACTTAAAGCTTGATTCAGTTGGACACTAATCGTTTTTTTTTCAATTATTATTTTTAGGAAACTAAAAGTCATAGGTGTCTAGAGAGTATTAAATCAGATTTAGTTACTCGTTGCTGAACATTTACAAAGTCCGGTATTTGTCATTAAAAAATGCTTTACCTGTTTTCGTCCCATTTGGAAGCTCTGAAGATTCTACAAAAATACACTCGATTAATTTAAGGAAAATAAGCATGGCTGCTATTTGTTTGGACTCATGTGGGCCACACATTTTTTCCTATTTACCATCTCAGAAAAAAAGATGTAAATGAACCATGTTCTAAAACTACCGAGCAAAAGTGAATTTAAGTAATCATAAAGCAGGAGATATTGGAAACATATTAAGCATTTGTTACATGTTTGCATAGAAATCAACTATTAACTTGACGAAATGCACAACAAAAGCGCACGTACATGATGCATTCACTGTCCTATTAGTGCTCAAGTTGGGGCTGGTTGTGGTAGTCATTGTTATCGTTACCATTATACACCAAGTTTCCAAATCTCTGTATAAACCTGCTACAGTACCATTTTTGAGTTAAATACAATAACTTTCAAAAAACTTTATTCCCACCGAAAAAACTACGCTTCCAACCAACTAAAGGGCAATGACATTCCCTAATCAACTGACAAAACTTTTGTATGAAGTGTTATGAGGACTTACCCCCATAGGACACGTCAAGTGGTGATGTGACACCTCCACCTGTTGGTTCCCGATCAGGTTTCTTCCCTATTATGGCACCAACTCTGAACTCTCCCAGCTTTCCATCTTTTACAGCGTCATTAAGTGTTGTGATAACATCTTTTTCCCTTTTAATGGAGTTGAACTTTAGTGCAAGGTCAACAATGATACTTCCACACCTTGGGACAAACATAGACTGAGGGTTAGAGTGACATGAAGTGGGAAAGAGATAACAAAAGAGCAAATAATAAAATTTCTAAATGCCATTAATTCACATACTTAACACCTATCAACTGCACTCCTTCATAGCCCATTTTATCAGCAAAAGCCCCCTCAAGCTGCAAGTACAAGTAAGCAATTTAATCATTTATCTTAAAATGTTATGGTTTATGTATGACACGTAAGAACAAATGAGGAAGACACCAAGTATTATCTATTCAATTGAACATGGCTGTTTTGCTAAGAATCAGTCTCTAAGTATTAATCAGTGGTTTCTTTAAAGTGATACTTCAATGAAAAATTGTTCTTCTTCTTGTCACTTGCCTCATATTTTAATGTGAAAAGAAAGCACCAGGCCTCTTAATGCCCTGAATAAAGACCATGAGTAAACACTGAATAATAAGAAGATTGTGACAAGCTTTTCAAGTTCAAGATTTAACGGAACTCTGACAAACTGCATGCAATCTAGGAAACAATCAAGATGCAATCAATGCAATCAAGAAACACTGTAGAATTAAATGAAATATTCTCCACACATTCTCCACCAGCCAAATTTCCTTTTAATCATTATACAGCTAGCACATCAGTCTCTGACCCTGAAGTAACCAACACTCAGTGACAACTATAATTAACAATTAAACAGATCAAGTGAAGTTAAACACAGGCACACAGTTTACTTGTGGGAAAAAATTCCTCCTATGTAAACTAGTGTAGGTTTATTTAATAGCGTTGATGGCAATATCCAAGTTATATGTACATTAAATTACCAGTTCTTTAAATTTCTCCAGTAATAAGAATTGCTTGAATTTTCCATCTATACATGTTTCACTTGTGATGACAATAGTTATGTTAATCACATTTCCTCCAACGTCTGTGAAGTAGGAGAAAAATTATTACTAAGGGATTTGCTCAATCTTTCTATTGATACAGGTATTCCATTTGAAAACCAGGGTTTTGTGAAAACTTTAGGATCATTCTAAGATCATTTAACCTCAGAGACAATTCAGTAAGTGGTTTGTTACAAGTTTCTGCCACAGCCTATATGATCCTGGGAACTGGTCAAATTCTCCTCGCATTTCTCATTGGTGGATTGTGTTGATTGCTTGTAAAATGAAAAATTGTGTTGTTGTCCTTGTTTCTAAGCATGAACAAGAGAAACAGTCTGGTAAAATTTTGAAAATGTTCTTATAATGAAGCAAAATAATGTAGGGGAAAATTAAATCAGTTGCTGATATCAAAGTGAACTTTTTGCTTTCAAATTCAAGTGCATGACTACAATGTACATTTGACTTACAAACATTAGCAGTTTTTGAATCAACTCCAAGTGCATTGGCAACTCTGCAGGTATAGTTGGCATTATTAAAGACTTGTGAAGTATGAAGAGTATTCTTGTCACAAACTTGATCTGAGTCACATGGAATCCAAGTGCAAGTAGGCGGAGGGTTTCCTTCTGCTTCACAGTTAAGAGTTACACTTTGTTGCACACCAACAAAATAATTGGTTTGAAATTTAACAATATTGGGTGGATCTGTACATCAATTTGGAAAATAAAAATCAGATTTAAAAAACAGCATAAAAACAAATATGCAGTGAGTAAATTGTCACCAATGGCTAAAAAGTACATCAAAGAGGTAATTGTTCATCTAGTCTCTTGTTCTGTAAGCTGAATTGATTTACTGTACATATGTGTGCATATAGTTCTCCTACAGCACGTGTGTGCATGTAACATCAATTAGGTGATCTTCTTGCATTCATGAATGTATGTTTACTTGTCTGAGCTTCAAATACAATGAATTTAAATGACTATATTCATCAACTAATCTTTTGTCCAAATCCCTTTACACTCCCAAAGCAACAGAGGTGATACTTCAAATATTTGAGCTCATTTTGCTTGTACAAACAATGGAGCAGTATTAAGCTTCTAAGCACACTTACAGTTTAGGCTATGAGAGGCAAGTGAAAACTTCTGAATACCTGGATGTAAGCCACACATCAATCCAAGTAAATGACAGCACACATTACAACAAAAAAGTAAATAGAAACTACCTATCTGTTTAGCACCATAGTTAGAGTTTTTTCAATGCATACTCACAAGTGACATTCACATAAACTGTTCGGCTATCTGCCTCACCAAAACCATTATATGCTGTACAGTTGAAAGTTCCTGAATCAGTCCTGCTAATTTTTTTTATAGTCAGCACCTTTCCTTCTTGTAGCACACCAGTATTTCCTTGGTTCCCTGTCTTCTCTTTGGTCCAGGTGATGTTTGGTTCTGGTTTACCAGATGCTTTGCTTGTTAACTGCAAGTTGTCCCCTTCATGAACAGTTTGTTCACTGCTAATTTCAGTGATATCTGCTGGAACTAAGAGCAGAAAATCACATTGAAAAAAAATTGAATACACTTCAAGGACAATTCTTAATGTTATTATGTGGAAGGCATCAGGTGAAAAAATCTACAGAACAGTCCACCTTGATCTGCCAAAAATTGTCCTGATGAGAAGGTATCGGATAGCAGCCTTAATTAATTATTGTTTCTTGAGGATAAAGTTGTCAGAATTGAATTTTGCGTGGCAGACTGTGTTAAGACTGAAACTAGGATGTGACATTTTTTTGGTCATGGTTTAGGTTTTCTTTCTTTTGGACACCTTGTGTCGTTCTACATTTGGTCATATGACAAAAAAAATTTTAAAAATTAAAAAAATAAAAAACAAAAAAGTGAGTTTTCTCACACGTGTTTGTAGCGTCATTGAATTTTGTAATGTCTTTTTCGACTTCGTGTGGCCCAGAATGTAAGTAATTTTGTCCTGAGCTTCCTTTTAGTCATCGATTATGTTCATTTGTCATTTCATCTATTTTTCTTTAGTTTCCACCGTTCTATTTCCTCCAATCGACCCCGAACCACTTTTGTGATTTGCAAGGGAATAAAGTAAACATTAAAAAAGCATCATTTCTACTATGCCTATGCAACAGACTTTGCTGAAATTCTTTATTACCTTCATCTTTGTGTATGAGCCAAACCATTTTGAGTAGTATTAAAAGTAGCTTGGAATTCAGGGAAGTTTTTCTACAAGAAGGCCTTTTGAACACATCCCTTAATTTCATAAAATTCCACAAATTTCTTGGCACTGAGCAAAATAAAAGGTTTTTTCTCAGATTATGTATAGAGTCATATATATCACATGTGGAAAGTTCAAGTCCCTCCACATAATCTGTCTGCAAATATTTGAAACATAATTGAATGAATTTAGCCTTCGGTACCACCTTAAATCAACCTATGATTTGAAATTCTAAACTAAATGGAATTAACTCTACTGCAAATATGTTGGCCAAAATCCTGACTTATGTCTCACAATTTTCCACTGCATGTAAAAATGGCATATCATTTATTTCTAACTTACTCACTTGAGTTTTTATTTTCTTGTCATGAACAGGAATTGACATCTTTTTACCACAGTTTTGATCAACACCAAATGTTTTGACAAGTGTGAATCTACCTGAACTGACTCAAACTATGTATGAATCTTCTGAATTTGGGTATGAAAGGACTGACTATGAAAGGTCCATGGAAACAAACAATCCTTTTTGAGTCATTACCCAAACACATTTCAATTCTGTCCATCTGATTGTTTTCTGTGATGTCAAAGTCTTCATGGTGTTGTCCAAAATGAAAACTACTTAAGTGAAAAAGATTTCTTAACTTTATTGCCAACTTACAGTCCATAAGTCTGATCTTGTAAATCACTGTTTCTTTGAGTGACATAACCAAAACTTATGGGTGACACTACTCTTGTTTTTGGTGAAATGACATTACGCGAGATGACTTTTGGGCAACTTGACCAGTTATTAAGTACCTAATGAGTGGTTACCATCCAAACTCAATAGACATAGCATTGATGATTCTATATTGTTTTGGTTTAGCCACTTTTTGAAGAGCAGACAACGGACAGTTGTGATATGTGGAGCCTACACTGTAACCCAACTGGTCAACTGAAAAAACAAGAGTGCCTCAGGGTCTATCATTGGACCCATCTTGTTCTTCACTTACATAAATGAAATACCAAACATTGTTACATGCTCAATTAAATTGTTTACAGATGACACAATGTCTATTGCTAATGAAGCTATGACAATGAAATATCAGTGCTGTAGTAGGACCTGGACTCTTTATATAACTGAAGGAGGAGTTGGCAAGTTAACTTTAACCCCCAAAAATGCGATGTTAAGAGAATCACCCACAAGCAGGATAAAAGTAAACATCAGTACCACCTGTAAAACCTAAAGTTTAAATCTGTTGACTTCTACCAGGAATAACTATAATGACCAGCCCCATCTTGTAAGCACTTCTTGAAAGTTATAGTAATAACTTTCAGTAGCTTATTCAAGGGAAAAAAAATCTTAGGATCTATGGTGATTTATTTCCCAGAAAATACTGTTTGGGACAATTCACACAAAAGAAACTTGATTCATTTGTTATTTCAGTCAAGAGGTAAAGCTAATTTGAGTGACAATGTTCCATTTCCACTCGCAAGAGATAAATCAGATTGTCTGTATGATGGTTGCCTACCAGAGGTTAAAAACAAATGAATATTTAAAATAAGGATCTCTTAGATTGGTCACTTATGAGAGGTGGTCCCTTATGGAAGGTTCCAGTGACCGATAGATTTGACTTAGAATCTTTTGACTTAGAGTATTTTGAAAAAGGGGTTACTACCAAGAGGTCCTTGATTACAATATATGGTTTCAAAGGGAGGGTTGACTGTAGTAAACGTGGTTTCTTACAGTTTGTAAGAGGCTCTTTTTACAGGAATAAACTCAAGGCTCTCCCCTTCATATGCTGTATGATTTTTAAACATATTTGTTAATCAATAACTAAACGTATTTTTATCAAACAGCACAGGTGAAACTCTGCATGCGCAACAATATTGCCTAAGTCTGTAGAGATAAAGATCCTCCAATTCTCATTAAAATCCTTGCAAAGTCCTTTGTTAGGATCCTCCAAGATCCTCAAGAACAGAAAAAGATCTTTGCTAAGATCCTCAAGATTAAATTTTAGATTGGGATCCTCCAAAGATCTTTGTCCAGGTCATGCAACTCTTCACATGGCTTTCACCTACATGTTTGAAGACCTAGTTTGAAAAGCATGTCATCAATGTCTCCTGTCCATGGGAGGGGGCACATTTCAAATCATCCACTAACATGAGAATATGAATGGCATCAATTTACGAGGAAAAATTGAGGCAGTAACACAAGCTAACATTTGCCCCTAATCTCTTGGATTTAAAAAGAATAATTTTCAATTACAACAAAAGCTGAAAACTACTAAAAAAATGACAACTATCTCATTTTTTAACTATAACAAGGGGCAAGGACTATTACTAATCTTTCAAGTATATTTAAGATTGGGAAACAAAAAAAAGGGAGGTGGTGGAACACAATTCTCCTTTTTTAAAACTGCTTGAGGCAGAAGATAAGAGGAGCAGGTAAAAAGAGAGGCTAAATAAAAAATAAAATTTAAGGGGAGGGAAGGTGCAAAGGAATCCAGGTTTAAGAACAGAAAGCACTGTGCTAAATAAGCTTTTGAAAAGTTTGGGACAACAACAATATCACTATCACCAGGGGCATCAAGGAGATTACAAGCTTATTAGAAGACCACCACTTCTCCTCTTACATTGGCAGCACCCTCTAGGGTTTTATTGTGGGATTCAGAGTGAGAATCACACCCATTCACACCAAAACAGCTTGAATGACTTGTGACTGACTGGTAACAGTGTGATTAAAAAGAGACTTCTACAAGTAGCATAACATTCAATGTTGACTTGTTGTGGACTCATAAAATTGCTTTCTGAAGTACATATGAGAGAAATTGATGTTCTACTGTAAGTTAAATGTCCCTCGGGATTGAGTTTGAGGAAAAGAACAATCATGCAATCAGAAGAATTGGGTCATTTACTTCCCTTGTTAACAGTTATAAGGTACTTTAATGATTTGAAGTCTTAGCCAATACCTACAGCTGTAGAAGAACGACAAATTTTTTTGTGTCCAATTTGTGGGGACTTCATTCACTGAGGATCTGAAGCAAGTGGGATGGAACACTATTAATATTGATAAGGATTTTGGTAACCAGGCCACTATAAGGTGCACATACATGAATTCAGTGTAGCCACACAAAAGAATAAAAGTGTCAATAACAAAGAATAAGAGTGTCAATAAAAACAAGTATCAGTAAAAACAAGTAAGAGAGTCACTTAAACATTCACTTGTGAAATTCCAATAACAGTGTAGCCGCACAGGAAGAGTTTCTAAATTCTCAACAGGGAATTTGGGTATCCCTTTTTCTTTTAGACTCAGGTTCTATAAGCACATGTTCCATTTCAATCTGCAACTTTTATCTGCACACCATGATTGCTTGGGTATGATAAGAAAATTATGAGAAAAAATCCAAAGATAAGCCTGAGGGGTTAACAAAAATAAGGAGCAGTCTAAATAATTATCCCTTCTGTTTGCTTAAGGAAGAAAAGCAATATTGTTTCTACTTCTAGGATTCAGGTTGTGATTATTACTACCTTCTATTTGATTGTGTGTAAATGACTAAGATAAGACAAGTTTCTCAACTACTGTACATGTAAAGTACATGAAAAAAAATCTATAATAATTGTAAAATATCACGAAGCATATCCCACAAGAACGAGTTCCCCATTTATGTGATTAAAAAAGGTATGATAACATTTAATGTTGGAGGGTCAGTTTTCTGTTATAAAATATTTGCTGTCTAAAAGTTGTGTCATCCTCCACAATTACCCAAACAATCACAAAATTTTATTATCTTCCTCACACCCTGAGAGATGCACTTATTGTGCAATTATACAGTCAACATGAACCATGATGCACACTCACTTGTGGAATGAGCAAAATGTTTCAAGAGATAGTTGAGTTAGGCATACACATACATGTGCATATACAGCGTAAACCAACAAAATGAACACTCACCTTTTATGACTACAAGAATTACATCCTCCCAAATATTCATACCAGCGACCACCCTGCATGTGAATTTCTCTCCATCAGCAGCTGTTGTATTGTAGATTATCAATGTGGCACGATCATTAGGACTGATGTTAAATTGTCCTTGAAAGGCCGGAAGTAATGTAACAGCTCCAGATGGAGCTTTACTCCCAATTTTTTCAGTGGCACCTCTATTCCACGCAACAAAAGAAAGTACCACACCAGATAAGGTAAAGTCCCATTCCAAACGCAACTCAGGAGATCTACCATCAAAGACTTTGACTGTTGTTCGAACTGAGACGTCTGAAACACTGAGTGGACCACGTTGTGGAGAGGGAAGAGTCCATGTGATGGTTGCATCTACAGCACAAAGAAAGTGACCAGTTAATATAACATGCAACTGGGCCAGGTTATCTGTTTGAACATTGCAATATCTTTATGTTACAATCAAACACAAACGACCATTTGCCAAGAGGGATGAGTTCAAAATAGACATTAACAATGTACTTATACTCATGCCATTGTACATACATAGTATGTAAAAAAATTTTCAATAATAAAATCATTCTCATGAAGTTCATCATAAACACAATCTATTTGTTCTCTACTGAACAGATAAAACCAATCTACAGTATGTGAAATTATGGAGATAATTGCCTTTCATAAAGCAAAACACTGAAGTACATGTAGCTATCTATTAGCATACTCTTCACAGGTACACCCTTAAGGCAACTTTAGCTTGCTCGTGTAAAACCTTGTTCATTTTTAACAGTTGGTACCTGAAGCTTGTAAGAAAATTTTGATGAGGACTCTGATATGCAAATGATCAATCACTCACTCACTCACTCAAGAGTAGACACTGTGATAATTAGTTGTTCTAAACTTGCCCAAGCGTAATGCCATCATCTTGGAAAAATAACCATGCAAAAATGACAACCAGGCTTGTTACAGTTTAAACTTAGCATTGTTGCTTTCAATGCCACCTTTTGAGTGAACAAAACAATATTTAGATAACACTTTAACAGACAAAAAGGTCCTGTGCTAATCTGACTATATAAAGCAAACTAGGGCTATTCATTGTCCCATATCTCTATTCTAAATCAATCAGGAAAACTTGCATTCATATAAAATGTATTCTAGAAGCAAGAAAACCTTGTAAACAAAGATCATTGTGTTAAAATGCAAATATTCATTAAGTGACTGTGATGTGAAACCTGACAATTACACGCAGAAATGGTAAATAGTAGAATTTGGCTTGTACAGGCGGGGAAAGATTTGGATCACAGTTTACATCTCATGAATTTTGCTAACAGAAATTTGATAAACTCAAGATATTGTTTGTACTGCTTATGTAGACTGCCGCAGGTATACAATTTATTATTCTCTGCAATTGGATGGTTACCATCATTCTGGATTTTTCGAGGGTTGTCCAATACACCTAAATTGAGTCGATTTGTCAAAGGTAGCCATTGAATCCATCTACTGGAAGTAGATTTGCAGTTAAGGCGTCTCATATCAAGGTAATCTGAATAAACTGTTCCTCTTGAGGTAAAAATGTCATACTCATACAAGAAGTCGCTTTGCAAGACACTTAATATATATTCTGAGAGTGGCTAAGAGGGAGGGTTAGAAATGTTGTTGATGACTCGTCCTAGTTGAAGTCTATGGAAGTCCATTTGCAATATATTCCGCAAGTTTCTACAAAGGTTTCAAAATGTTGGCTACTCAACTCGATTCTGCTGGATTCAGACCATTCATCACAGCTAAAATCAAGTCATCACATTGAAAGTTGATTTACTAGACACTCACTAAATATTCTGCAAGTGGCTAAAAGGGTGGTTTGAAAATGTTGTTGATTTAACTTGAATCAGACCATTGGTCTTACTTGAAGTCAACCTGTCACACTGGAAGTCAATTTGCAAAACACTAATAAATATGTTCCACAAGTTGCTACAAGAGTCAGGAAGATGCATAAATAATGATTGCATTGAACACCCTAAACAAAGGGAGGTGAGAAAATTTGTCAGCTTCTCAAATGTGTAATAAATTTCTTATCAAAAGGGCTCTGAAGTTGTAACTGCACCAAACAATCAGAAACCACCAAGCATAGCATGGTAATTCTTTACCTGTCATGGTAAGTATCTACAAGCAACTATAAAATTCTGGCAAGACAGAAAAGTGACCATTGCTTTCCATAAATTATGGCAGCATTGAGATTGTATTGAGAAATATTCATTACCTCTTTACAAGTAAAATAATTGAGCAGAGGAAGGAGATTTTCAGAAACATTAATCAAGATGCCTTCATTCCTTTGAAGATGTGGCTTTCAGAAGTGGGACAGCTATTTTGTTGCTTCCCTGATCTGATTTGCAAACTTTTTCTACTCTCTAGCACTTCCTCATCATGGTAGCTTTCACCAAAAGAATTAACAAAGAAGTACAGATGCAACCATTTTACATTAGTAGGTATCACATTTTACATTAGTAGGTAATATATTTGGCAACTTAAATTTCCACAAAAGTCACCAATTGGTGACCAACAGATTTGAAAAAAAAAAAAAGGAAAACAAAAATCAATCCTTGGTTGAATTATCAAACCAACAAACACACACAAACTGATCCTTAACTTTCAGATACACTCCTAAAGGTGAAATGAGCAGTGATCAATTTGAACTAATTTTGTCGAGATAAACTCCATTTTAATTAATTAATTAACTGACAGTAGATGCAGCATGTACTTTTTAGGAAAGGAGCAAGATAATAATCTGAGAGATCCTTGGCAACACAAGCATCATTTCACAAAGCTATCCCACTGTTGAGAACTTTTTCAGTGTCTCTGCAAAAGAGAATACTGAGCCACCTCCCACGCTGCCATCACAGAGGAGTTTGAATGGTAGTTCTGTAACTCCAGTTGATACAGTAACAAGGAGTACTTGTACGGATGTAGGTGCAAGTAGAGACAACTTTTACCATTTACATCACTTGGAGATAAAAGGTTCTTAACTTTGATTTGAGGGATTTAAGGACTGCATGGCTGGGCTTCTGCTATATACATCTGGATTCGCCCTTTTTGCTACCTTCCAATTCAAAATTTTCACTGAAACAATCAATAAGCATGTTTCGACTAATCAATACAACCTCTTGTATGAGTAATTTATCATGTCAAATAAAGAAAAAGATTAAAATAAGACATTTCAGGCACTATAGAAACACACAAAATCTTCAAAAGGAAGACGTGGTATATACTACATGAATATCTGTTATTCTGAACACCTTCAACTTTTTGGCTAGCTTTTTTTCAATCATTGCACTAGCAAAAATTGTTCTAGACACATCATGTGACTGAAAACTCCCCAGCCAGAACAGAGGAATATCCACAGATATTTCCAAATTTTCAATATGATAATATGCAACATGATAAGTTTCTGTTTAACTTTTAATTTAAAACGAGTGAGCATCTCATGAACATTTACATCTACTTCTACTTTGATTGAGTTGGTAAATTCTGTTCAGACATCACACCAACCAGTTCGCTCGCAAAATGAGAATACTATATGAAGGCTTGAAATTATATTAAAAACGGTTGTGATCAAGAAACGGACAAGGGATATTCCACAATAGTGAAAATAATCGGAAAAGCGATTGCGTGACGCTCGGGTTTCCTGGAAAAACTGGATTAACGATCACTGAATCACCGGATCACCGGATCAAGGATCACCAGACTAAAGATGAAGGATCAGTTCAAAATGCATCAAATAAATTAAATAAATTAATAAGCATGATTGACTGCTCATCTACGTGACTCAGTCAAGATCTCTCTCTGTTGACAAACAGGCGTTGTTTATTTAGCCTTTCCCCCGTCCGCCGACTTTCACGTTACCCCCAAGAACTCTAGATCGAAAGTTAGATAAGACACGGGCTATTCTTGATTCCTGTGTAGTTTATGGGGATTTTCATTGCATAGGCAACGCAAACGTCTGTAATTTTATTCTTTCACTAGAGAAATGAAAATAGAGGGGTTTTTTTGGTCATTTACAAAAACCTTTCTTCTGCACTAAGACATTTGTAGACACGGCCAATGGACAACAAAATCGCCATTGTTTTACAATTCTTTGCATTTTCACCCAAGCATTAGTCGATCTAACAAAAATTCCCAGGTTTTCTCTTTGACATTAAGCTGGATATCATCTGTTCTAGTTTAAAAAAGTCACGTTTTTTTAAGCACTTCTGCTTTTGCGCACCATGCTTAACCGTTGGTGCGGTTCCTCTGTTGAAGCTATCGAGAAACAGAGAATCGGCAAACGTCCAGGTCCTTTATTTTTGTCGGAAGTGTTCAAAAGTGTGGGACTAAATTTTCTACCTGCTGTGCTTACTGGTGACAAAAAAAAGAAAAAGCAATTCTTCCTCGTTAGTCGTCAGTTACTTTCTTTAAAAAAAAACGTAAGACTAAGAACTTATTCAATTTTCCAGTGTGTGTTCTTAAGATTTCCGACTTGTTGCTTCCATGTATACTCCAAGGGACTCACAACAACATCTCAGTTGTGATACAATTTTATCACTTTCCGAATCATGTCTCTTGTCAAATCCCGTCGGAAAAACGACTAAAATGTCTTCTTCTAAGAAAGTGATTCTTCAAATGTATTCCATCTACTTTTCCTTTGAGGACATGACGTCAGTAAAAGTTTGAAGAGATGAAATTAAAGCAGCTGAAAATTTGCTGTTTACTCCGGCAGTCGTCAAAAACGGCTTCGTGTTTGAAATTGCACCGGAAGTCAGATACGTAATCACATACCGACACTCAGGATAATTTGGAAATATCATGTGAATATAGCAAATGCAAAAGTAAACCCGCTCTGTAGCTGTCAGTCTTCAAGAGCTGTTCTAATAATCGGTCGGAGAAAATTTGGCACTTCTTCAAAGTGGTATGGCTTTTTCAGTATTTAGTATATTTATATTTATTATATCTATTAGATCTGTGCCAATTTCGCTTATTTTCTCTTATTATCGCTTGAGCATACGGAAGATCTTGACTGAGTCACGTGGATTAGCAATCAATCATGCCTATTAATTTATTTAATTTATTTGATTCATTTTCAACTGATCCTTGATCCTTGGTTCGGTGATCCTTGATCCTCGATTCATTTTTTTCCAGGATGTGTGGACTTCATGTTGAAGAGCTCCCGAGGAAAAGCACAGTGATAGAGCAATGATTACTTTATACCAACTGAAGACAAACGCACGGCTTAACAATATGGCTGCCTCTAATACTTACCTGCTTGGTCACAGCGTGTGTTGAAATGAAACCGCTACGGGTCCCCTAGGTGGGAACATTTCGGCTTTTCAATTCAAGGTGCATTTTTA